ATCAACCTAAAATTAATTGATTTAATGCTAATTTCTAAAATGCACTTCTTCACTTGAATAGAATATGACCTCATTTAGTTCAGAAGCAGAAACGTGATTGTACTTTTAAGACAAAAAATTCTAAATAATGGACCTGCATATTCAAATATGAGAGTGAAACAGTAACTCAAAACTTAATGGAGAAATATCTTGTCTGAAGCTGAAACAGAATTGATCACACTGTGCCAGAAACCCCAGTTCAAGAAGAAAACCAACCTTAAAATAGTTCCCCACCGGTGAAACATAAATTAGAAAGGTATACTCAGGAGCAGGTGCTAGACCAAGAACAGCTCCACTCCCCATTAGCAATGGTCTGATATATAAGGAACCTTTACCTGGAGGAGGAACCTGAAATGGAACATTTACACTTTAACAATCCAGCTTCAAGTATCAATAGGAGAGAAAAATAAAGGTGTGCCAATATTCAATTTACAACTTACCCAACGTTTGTTTGCTAAAACAGTTGCCTTTACTGCATCCACAAACTGATCAATTGTCGGTGATGGCATGCACATCCTCTCTGCACCCATTATCATCCGCATAGCATTTTCCTCAGGACGAAATAGAAGAAGGTTACCATCTTCTTTCCTGTAGGCTTTCAGACCTTCAAACAATCCCTAAAGTCAAGAAAAATAGAAGAAAGGGAACAATGTGATAATCTTGAGTCAGGAGACACAATAAGATGTAAAATGAACCCAAAATGAAATTAAATGGGATCCCACAGCCCACATCCGTGATCCCTTTCAATTAAAGACATACAATTTAAAAAATAAATACATAAACCTGGCCATAATTTAAGACGCCAGCAGAAGGGTTCAGTTCAATGTTTCCATATCTCTGTAATTCGCCTTTGGAAAAGTTTCCACCTTTAGTGCATTTCATTGTATACATATAATCAGTGGGAACGTATGCAAATCCAAGGTTATCCCAGTCTATGTCAGCTAATTCAAATGTTTCACTGCCAGAACAAACCACAAAAGCATGGCTTGGCATCACAACAACATATTCAAACAAATCTCTAAGAGCAGCAACAAAGACAACAGAACAGAACACACCTGTGTATATCAGAAAACGCAGCTCCACGCTTAAAAGGAGACACAGCCTTAAAACAAGAAGAAACCTGCTTTTGTAGCTGCCCAGAAACCACAAAAAAAATAATCATACAGATAAACATTCAAGAGAGAGAGGGGGGGTGGAGGAAAAGAGAAGGGCATCTAATTACCTTGAGAGAGAGAGAGGGAGGAGGAGAGAAATTTGGAAGTCTAGTGCGGTGGTCTGAGAAAGGAAGGGAGGAGGAGTTGCGTGAGGGGTAAAGAGGGTAATTTGGTTGCAGACCACCAAAGACGGCGCTTCTCTCCATTCTCCTCTCTTTCTCTCTTCAGTTTCTTTCTCGTTCTCTTGTCTGTTTTTTTACTGTGTGATTGTGGAGGACTTTTTCCTCTTATTGTGTGTGTGATTCTTCGCGTTTTTCCTCCCCTAACATTTTTTCGTAATATAGTAATATAATTTTATAATATTTAATATTATTAAAAAAAAAAAGTAAACTGTTTTATATATATTTCAACAATATTCCATCCCGACTGCTACATTTTTCCAAGGTAAGAATATTTTTGGATTAATTTGTATATTTTTTTTATTAACTTGTATATGTATTAAAATAATATTTTTATATAATTTTAAAAATGTATTTTTTATATTGCGTGGTTTGGTATTTTTAGAAGAATTTAATTAAATATTTATACTTAACAAATGCTTCACTATGTATATTTTATATTTCCTTTTCCATCTTTTCAATGTTTTACAAATAGTAATCATGTTATCACGAAATAATATATTTTTTTATCTTCTATATATGTTTGGTTTTGATACATTTAAAAGAATTTAATTAAATATTTATATTTTATATTGAATAGTTGAATGTTGGTTTTTTTTCAAAAAATAATTGTTATCTTCTCCATCTTTTCAATGTCTTACAAGTAGTAATCATGTTGATCACATTAACACTTGAATCTAGCTAGAAGGCTCACCCTCTTTTATTTTTATTTTTTTGAGTTTTTTCTTGGTATTTTACAAAGGATTTATGTTAGATATTTTATGATAAAGAAGCAGTTATGAAAATTTTAAGATTAAGTTAAAATAAGGATAAATGAAATGTTTTTTAATTAATTTATAATGATTAAAAATATAATATAAAAGTTAATTTTTAAAATACTTTTAGTTTGGAAATATATTAAAATATTTTTTATTTTTTATAAATTATTTTTAGCATCAACACATTAAAATAATTTAAAAAAATAAATTTAAATAAAAAAATTATCACACCGATTTCAGCGTTTTATTATTCTTCAGCTTCCTCAGGTCAAGCGCAAGTGAGATTTAAACAGGGAAAAAGACTAGTCAAGATGTCTGGTGTACATCCACATAAGCTTCACTTCTGACGTGTATATATACTTATCCAGGGGCGGACCTGGAAATTCCAGGTTAGAGGTCAGATACGTAAATACATGTGAAAAACAAAATTAAATTTCATTTCAATAAGCTGAATAATTATCCGATATTTTGATGGGGAGCTTTTTTTTTAGAATAAATATACCAAGTTTATCATTATAATTTTCTATAAGCTTTAGGATTTCAATAAAATTAAAATGTTTTTTTAATCATGATTTCTATGGTGATATCTAAGGTGATTATTCTCAAATTCTTGTGAAGCTCGCTTGTTTATTAAATTATGAATATTTTGTAATTAGTTTATTAAATCTTTATAATATTTAATTATTATTTTTTAAATTCAAGGGTCGAGAAATTGGCATCTAATTTCTTAAAATAACACATAAATACAATACTAAACATACACAAATTTATTTTCGTGGCAACTTCCATCCTCTTAATATTACAAAATATATCATTTTTTTATTAAAAAAATTACAGCTTGGATTGACTCGACAACAAATAGATCAACTCGTCCACCCACAGCTTTTTGAATCTTGAGCCGGGCCGACCCCGCACTGGGTCCTTGTAAGCATGGGTTTTGCTCCTAGTAATTAATACAATTGATGACGTGATTGTAAAAGCAATCCTACGTGACCCTTTCCTAATTATGATAAATAATAACAATAATAATACGTGGCACACAGAGAAGGATAAGAATCTTGAAACGTGCCATGTTTTATTATGTGAAATAGATTTAACAAATATTTGAATATGACAATCTGATATTAATTAAATAAATACATGCTGATTTTATTTTTAATTTTTTTCTTATCTTTCCAGTCTTGTTTTTGTCTTCTTAAGATTTAAAAGTACTGTGCTTTTCTGATTTTATATGGGAAGCTGATGATTATTAAAAATTTATATAATTATTAATTTTAAAATTTATAAAATTAATTAAAATATATATAAATTTATTCGGATACCCATATTAAACTAAACAAAAAATAAATTTAAAAGTAGTGATCATGTCAACCACGTTAACGCTTGAATCTGTCCACAAAAGGCTGCTTCTTTTTTCCTTTCTTTTTTCTTCTGAGAAGACTGGGTAAAGCTTGAAAACCTTGTCTGGATCATGATGAATCATTAGCATATCGATAATACAATTTCTTGTATGTTTATTCTCTTGATTAAAACACATAAACTTACATTAATTATAATTATTGGGCGTAAATTCCTAATTCATATTATCCAGAGCATTAAGAGCTTGAAAATAACAAATGAAATGATCAAAAAGAACACGAAGATTTATTTTTTAAGAAGAATATATAGGATGTGAGAGTTCAGGAGGACAAGAGATATTTCATGCTTTTTAAGAGGCAAGAATAAATAAAATAAATTTATTAACACGGTAAGATTTTTCCAATGGATTATCATCCTTCGTTTCTTGCCAATAGTTTCCTCATTTGCAGGAATG